CACTTAGCATAATGCATTTAAGGCTTAGCTGTGTTGTTACCTGTTCAGCAGCTTGCTCATTTTTATTGCAGAGTGCTATTCCATTGTATGAATGTGCACTACCCTTTGTTTATCTATTTACCAGTTGAAGGAATTTTAGGATGTTTCCAGATTTTTGCACAGTTATATTAGAGTTTTACTTAGGATGTTTGCAGCTATATTTATATGTAAATTTGTTCTACCTTTTTTTGTCTTACTAATTTAATAATAACTGCTTTTATCTTCATTTTTTCCATTTTTATTTTGTATTCTGTATGTAAAAATTCTGCTTCGGTTATTATTCCTAAAGGCTGTAGAAGTGCTGGGATCTTTGCAAAGGAGACCAGATGAGATATTTTCGTTTCAGCACTTGAGAAGCCTTAAATGTAAGAGAAGAAGGAGAGAGGAAGTTAGATTTATTGGCAGATTCATGGAGGCACAAGAATGTACATTCTTAGAGGCTATTTGGTTGACATTGGTACCAGGAATTCCTGTGATAAATATTTCCTGATTCTCCAAGAAATACTATTTTATTAAATACTATATTATTAAGATGGCCACTCCTAAGTCCACTTTTTATTTCTTCTTCAGGTCTATACACAATAAATGTACTCCTCATTTGTAGAACGACATATAGAGCTGGAAAAAGCCATCTCCCAACACCTTTATTTTTAGATTTTTAAATGCTGCCCCGGAGAGGGGAAGAGACCAGCCTAGTGGTTAAGTCCTGTAAGGTGGACTGCACTCCTCATTTTTTGGAGAGTGCGTAAGAGGTAGAGTAAAAGGGTTGAGGCCTACGTGTGGGGGACTTAAATGAAGTTATATGGAGTATTCAGGCAAGCCTTTCTGTTTCCTTTATTCTTTAGGCGTAAGCACAGTTTTTCTGAAGTCAATGATCATTTTATTTGTGCTTTGCTTTACCTCGAGTTAGGACCTGATATGCAATAATATGAGAGACGAGGGTTCCAGTTTTCTTCTGAAGAATTCTATTTTATTTCACTGTCTATGGAGGAGTTTTGGGGAACCATGCCCTTTATTTATTTATTTTTTGAGAGATGATGTAATTCATATGAAAGAGAAGTCTCTTTTTTTTTGTAAGAAAATGGACGCATATGACATACCTCCATATCTTTGTACATCCTGCTCCCTCTGTCTGGAATATGCTTCCTTCGTATCTTTAGTTGGGTAACTTTTACTTCAATGTAAGTCACTTATGTGTCACCTCTTCAAGGAAGGTAAGTTCCTCCCCGTCTCTTTACCCAACTGGGTCAAGTGCTGTCTTTGAAGTGAATTTATAACATACCTCTCTCTTGGTAATTATCACACTAACTTTAATCATCAGTTTCCTTGTCTACGTCTTTAATTAAACTGAGTTTCTTGATGGTAGTGCCAAGCCTAAAAATTCCACCTTGACTAAAAAATGTGACATTTGACATAGTTTAGATCACTTTGTGGACTGAGCACTGGGTCCGAGAGGGTAACTGAAGTAAACTCTTTGTAACAATAATTCTGTCAAAGACCTTTGATTGCCCATGTTTTCTTAAGGGAAAAGTTTCACCAAGATACTTCCGTTAACTTTTCCTTTAGCCTTTGCACTATCCTGAGTGAAGAGTCTTGGACCATTTCAGTATATAAATTAGATATTAGAAGATATGATTTATATAAGACTCATAAAATATGCCTTGATCCTTTTTCCTTTTATAACTTTGCTTTTTATGACTCTCTGGGTGATAAATTTTAAGGTCTGCCTGCATCAGACCTGTTTATGATTTATGGCTCTACTTTCTCACCCACCCTTGGCAGAACATTGAAATACCACTGAAGGCCACATCACCAGCCTAATACTGTAGTAAAGAGAAGGATAGAATAAGAAAGACAAAGACCGAGGACTACCTCCAGGAATAGCTTTCCTGAGAAAACACATCTAGCATACAAATTTCAGTAAGTTCAAAATCAGAGGCGTCTTTCTGCAACAAAAGGCTCACCAATGAGTTTTTCCGTGGAAACCTGAAGAATTCAGTAATAGCTTTTGGAGTCCCTGGTTTTAAAGTCTGTAACAAATTTGACCCTAAGAAAAACTACTCAGGATAATTTGGTTTTCTAGAACAATGTTTCTCAAATCTTTCTTAGTACCTCTCTGGGGAATTCAATAAAAAATACAAAATCTAGCTCTGTCTCTGGGATTATGGTTCAGCAAGTCTAGGTTGGAACCTAGGAAACTGCACGTTTAATAGTAAGCTCCCATTTTATCCTGATGCAGGAGAGCTGGGACCTTTCTTTGAGAAGTACTTGCCCTGATCTTCTTATTGTGTGGGAGGTATTTTTGCAAAAGCTAATGAGAGGTGGCACTTGGTTAGGGTTCTGAGAAGAACACAATGTGACATAAGAGTGAAGGACACTAGGCATCATATGTTGTCATGGAATGAATGGTCTTGCAGCCCTGAAGAACAATGCCTCTCACATCCTAACTCCATCACTGTGCTTCCCACTGGATTGTCATTGTCTAGATGCTCATCCTTTTTTTCCCATTGGATGTACCTTTCCTCTCTGTTCCCATAGCATCTAGTACAATGCTCAATTCATGTTTGCTGAAGGCTGAATGTGTGAATGAATGAATAGATGAAGGAGTGAATGAGTTGAAATTCTTGACGGATAAAGACATACTCAAAGACTTTCAGCCTAAAAGTTTGACCAAGCATGGTAAATACAACCAACAGAGAATGATGTTAATGTATGCATGTCATCTATCTGTATATAAAATCTAGGTAGTGTTCCATTGCTTTTTATAAATAATGTTGCAGTGAATATCAGCAATGCGTGTCCTGTGTCTCTTTGCATACATGAGCAAGCATATGTGTAGGATAAATTCCTAGAAGTCATATTCCTAGGTAAAAAGGAATATGCATTTTAAATTTTTCAAAATTGTCCTTCAAAGACCCTGTACCAATTATATTTTATCAACAGTGTGAGTGGAAATGTCTATTTCCTGATATCGTTGTTGGGGAGATTTTTTTAAAGTGAAGAATCTAAACCTCCCAGGACCAGCCCAGGAACCTGCATGTTTTGATAGCTCCTCATAAAGTGAGATGTTATTAATATTTTCATACCGCACTATTTCATATTTCTATGATTCGGCTACAGAAGGTCTGTAGACCTGCATTTGGGAACCACAGGGCTGGTGCGTAGTACTTCATATGTACCTGGACTGGAATCCTTAGGCAATGCAAACTGTTAACATGCTTGGCTGCTAACCAAGAGTTTGGAGATTTGAGTCTGCCCAGAGGCATCTTGGAAGAAAGGTCTGGCAATCTTCTTCTGAAAAATCAGCCATTAAAAACCCTATGGAGCACAGTTGTACTATGACACACAAGGAATCGCCATGAGTTGGAATCAGCTCAATGCAACTCTTTATTTTTTTAAACCTGGACTACAGGTGCTAGCTTCCACAGTCCTGAAGTCCTTTCCTGCAAAGAAAAACCACCTGAGAAATGGCAGAGTTGAAAGTAATGTTCCAGGACCTTCTAGCTTGCAGTTCTCCTCTGTCTGCCATTCTGTGTTCACCATTTTGGTCTCAAGTCTCCCTCTTTCCTGGATGAATCACTCAGGAGCTAATGTCTTTTCCACAGGTTCACAAAGATGTACTTTAAACATGTACTCTTTGAGGACACGTTCTTTGACGAGTGCTATTTTGAAGATGTTACATCTACTGATACCTATTTC